GAAACCCAGACATCCGACGTCTCAATTTTTTTCGAGACGCGGGCCCCCGACCTCCCGACCACTTCCCTGGGACTAGTTTTTCATCCCGAGTGGTTGTTTGACGGCCCCGACGCCCAGCGAGGGCCCCGAGAGGCCAAAAACTATGTAACACCTCTGTCTCAATTTTTTCGAGACGCCCAATGTCTGGGAATACTTACAGCGTCGCCGCCGCGCGTTATGCATTTCCGTCCTTCCTGAGGGTGATATTGGGAAAATCAGGGGGGGAAAAGGGAGGAATTCAAGGCAGAAGGAGGACAAGTAGGGGAGGTGATGAATAGAAATTGCGTTGTTTGTTTTGTTGCGTGCACGGCACCGCACTCGACAATTCCATGTCGAATTTCCCGATGACTACGGAGAAGGATCCGAACATACTTGGCGAATACAGGTGGACACAGATTGCGTTATTGTGTGTTTTTCGGTGGCGGGGAAGACCACCGCCGCCAACCCTTCTGCTCGACTTCCGCTTTGCAAGTGTTTCCCTGGCAACGATTGCAAGGATAATTGGAAAATGGATACGGAACCGTGTGATAATAATGTTGCACCGTAAATAACAACGCCAACACATACATGAACACAAACACACTGCCATACATATACGTATACACATATATCCCATACACTTTAACATGTACGTACGCATACAGTTGTATTCATGTGTATACATACAAATATGATGTTTGTTTCACCACCCTTATGTTTCACCACCGTGACCGCCCTGCTGATTTGGGGTCGCGTTTCTTCTCAGGCCTCGGGCCCCTGGCGGCGCCGGCTGCAGGCCTTTGACATTTCCGAGAACGGTGCCCCTGCACGTTCCCGTCCGAGAGCGGTGCCCTACACACTTGCGTGCTACAGTGCAAAACTGAAGAGAGAGAGAGAGAGAGAGAGAGAGAGAGAGAGAGAGAGAGAGAGAGAGAAAAAAGAGAGAGAGAGAGAGAGAGAGAGAGAGAGAGAGAGAGAGATAGAGAGAGAGAGAGAGAGAGAGAGAGAGAGAGAGAGAGAGAACAAAAAAAAAGCGAGAGAGAGGGAACGAGAGCCAGGAACAATTGAAAACAGTAAAGACCTTAAGACTCGTCGCTCCTGGCCCATATTTTTCTACATGCGGTCGCCCTTCGGGGCACCGCCCTTCGGGGCGAAGCTTCCATCCCAGGATGAGAAGAGATTGCGTTGTTGTTGCAACGCATATGTCGCGTACGCGCGTGCATTTTTTCGATGATCCAGAACTGTTTGCCTTGCCTAAACAATCATCGTCATCCCGCGTGTTTACGTATCTGGTGGATTCTCTGTCCGCACTGTCCCCCAGCCCTGACTCGCCAAACTATCCTCTAGGCTTCCGCCTGTGCTCCCGTACCCTTGAGACGCAGAGGCGTTACTACCAACGCCCAACGACACAGTTCCTAGCTCACAATGCACGCGGTTGCAACAACAGTCTGTTGTTGGCAACGCTTACATATAGTAGAAAAGCTGTCTACATACACACAACATATTCACAACGAACCAACGACAACAGACACGCTATTTCACCAGAACTACAGTTGTCTCGTTTTTTTTGCAATGTTTTGGTTTTTCTGCTTTGTCTTGGTTAAAAACCATGACGTTATGGGCGGCATTGGTTTTTTTAGGGCTGTCTGATGTCTGGGAAGCCGCCTGGTGCGCGACTGCACCCGTAAGTCACACTTACGGGCCCTGGAGGTGGGAGCTTGCTTTTTTTTCCGAGCCTTCCTCGAACAAAAATCAGGTTATCTTCGGTGCCGAGCGGCTTCGGGGCCCCACTGGGGCCCCTAGACAGTTGCAACTTGCCGAGCGCTCTCTGGGGGGAGGGCCGCCTCGCGGGGCCCACGAGGTCGTCCGACGTCTGGGCCCCCCATCGCCGTGGGTCCTACTTGGGTTGCGCTGGGGTGGGCTTGCTCGTCGCTCGCCTCTGGCTTCCGTTCAGTGTGGGAGTGCATAGACGAGCCCCCGAGGTGTATCCGAATGGGCTGGGGGTTCGATTTTGCCCGTGGAACTGCCCTGCAGGGCCCCATAACCGGTTTTTGAACGCCAGATCAGTCATTTTCTTTCCGTGGGCCCTCGGGCGCGTTTATATAGGCCGTTGAAAATCATCGAATCATTGGTGCTGCTCTGCGCTGGTCTGCTTTGTTCTGCTCTGTTCTACTCTGCTCTGCTCTGCTCTGCTCTGCTCCTCCTCCTCGTCTTCCTCCTCCTCCTCCAAGTGAGCCAGTGCACGAGGGGAGGAGAGTAAAGGCGACCTCTGCAACGAGCCGATGTGCTAGACCATTGGCCCATCGAGTGGTCGGCAGAAGTCATGGATTGGGTCCATCACAAGGGGCCCACTGAAGGAGGGGGGGTGGAGGATGATGAGGAGGAGCGAGGCGGAGAGGACATTCGGGTCCAAGGAGGCGCCCCTCGATTTCCATCTCCCCCACGTCTTCATCTGTCATCCGTGCTTCGTCATCCACATGCACTCCTCCTGCAATCCAGCATCGCTCCTCCCCCTGTCTTTCTTTTCGTTACTCGTTCAATTCAGCGTTCTTGCGAACGGCGGTGTCCGTCTTTGACAGGGTGTGTGCGGGTAGGTAACCGCATGCCGATGATAATAAAGGGACCCCCCTTTCAGTGTTTAGAGTTGATTATCGTCGCCCTATACAAAATTCAAATTGGGCGGCGAGCGCTGAGGCCGAACTTCATTATCACCTCGAAACGCGATGTTGAGATAGCAACATCAAGCGATGTTGATATAGCAGCATCAAGCGAAGCGATCACACTTTCTCAGGATGTGTCAAGCGAAACCAATAATTTTGGGAGGCAGACTCAAACGAAACGAGCAATGTTTCAAGGATGTTTCAAGCGAAACCAGCAATCGTGTGAGGATGTCTCAAGCGATTCGAGAAGCTTGTCGAGGATGTCTCAAGCGAAACAAACATAAACTCGAGCATGTCTCAAGCGAAACAAGCCTATACTGAACGATGTCTCAAGCGAAACGATACGTTTCTGAAGGATGTCTCAAGCGAAAACTGCAATTCTGTGAGGATGTGTCAAGCGAAACCAAGAATTTTGGGAGGCATACTCAAACGAAACGAGCAATATTTCAAGGATATCTCAAGCGAAACCAGCAAGTTTTTCTTTTTATTTATATTTTTATTATCTTCCTTTTTATATATGTATCTATCCCCGCGCGCGCCTGAACTTTTTTATCTCTGGGGTTGATTATCCATGGAAAGGGGGGCACATGAGCTACCCTACATGAACACTTAAAACAATCAATTTTCATAAAGCGCTTGTAAATTAAAATTGATAGATTTGGAACTTTCCATTTTTCCGTTCTTCTTCTCTTCTTATTCTTCTCTTCTGTTTCTCTTCTTATTATTATTCTAGTTTCCTCTTCTTATTTTATATTTTTTATCTGTCCTCACGCTCGCCTGAACTTTTTATCCCTGGGGTTGATTATCCATGGAAAATGAAGCACATGAGCTACCCTACACGAGCACTTAAAAACATCAATTTTCATAAAGCGTTTGTCAATTAAAATTGATAGATTTGGAACTTTGGATTTTTCCTTTCTTCGTCCTCTTCGTATTATCCTCTTCTTCTTCTTTCTTATTATTCTTCTACTGTATTCTTCTTATTTTATATTTCTCTCTGTCCCCACGCTCGCCTGAATTTTTTTTTATCCCTGGGGTTGATTATCCATGGAAATTGAGGCACATGAGCTACCCTACACGAGCACTTACAAACAACAAGTTTCATAAAACGTTTGTAAATAAAATATAATAGATTTGAAACTCGAGATTGTTTCTTCTTTTCCTCCTTCTCCTCCTCCTATCATTTCTTTTATTTTATTATGTATTCTTTTTATTGTTCTTTTTTATATATAGCTTCCTCCATTCCTCCGCCCGCCTGAACTTTATTTTCGCCGCCGTTGATTATCTAGGGACGCCGAGGCGGATGAGCTACTCCGAAGATGTCTCAAGCGAAATAAACAATAGTTTGACGGTGTCTCAAGCGAAATAAGCAATAGTTTCAAGATGTCTCAAGCGAAATACGCAATAGTTTCAGGATGTTTCAGGCGAAATCAGCAATACTTTGAGGACGTTACAAGCGAAAAACACAATTATTTCGAGGATGTCTCAAGCGAAATAAGCAATAGTTTGATTGTGTCTCAAGCGAAATAAGCAATAGTTCGCGGATGTCTCAAGCGAAACAAGGGATTTGTCGAGGATGTCTCCAGCGAGATAAGCCATTGTTGAGGATATTTCTATGAAAACTAAACGCCAAGGATGTCTCAAAACGTGCTCGGCTTGGTCTCCTCTTGATCATCTCTCACTTCGAGATTATGCTGAGGTCTGCTGGGCTCCTTTTATTATCTCTCCCTGAACCCCGAACTTTATTATCCCCTAGTGTTTATTCTCACGGGCATGAGGTTATCTTTGTCATCCAAGGAGGCGTGTGTTTGCCACTCGGACCTTGGAGGGCTCGGGCTTTCAGCCATCGCGCACGGGTTGCCCGCACCTGCGCACCTTGTCACGCGTAGTTATGTTATAGTAGCTGAACTCCCGGAGAAGCATAGGTCGTGACTTTGTGCGTGCTGTCGGAAACGGACACGAGTCGTACTTGACCACTTAGCTTAGCGATCTCACGCCAAAGTTACTTGGAGAGGACCCTGATTGCTGTTTCCTGTCAGGTGAGCGGTTGTTTGGCATCCTTGCCATTTCAAAGGGGCGTTGTCAGCGCCACCGCACCACGAAGCTAGGTGCGAGGCGGTCGGAGCATCTACAAGGGGAGACGAGGAATTGTTGGTTCAGGGGGCGTTGCGAGAGCAATTGTCGACGCGCTTTCGGTATGCCGTGTCACGCGAGCAGGGCAGCAGAGGGATGACAGAGTTTTGCAGCGGACGTGCCCTGAGCAGTTAGGGACGAAGACGGGACGGTCTGGTTTGGGTACAGTTGCTCGGACTAGCAAGCAAGGTACTCGCGCTTGCGTACCGCCGGATGGACAACAGGACGCCTCGAAGCCGCTTCTTTGCGAGCACTTGCGAACCTTAACCCTGCGTGCGGACACTAACCCTGAGGCCCCAATCGAAGCTGGAGTATCGGACACCCCCGTTGGATTCATTTGGCTGCTGACATCTTGATTCCCAGCTGGTGTTTCAGAAGTCTGACCTGCAGGGGTAGATCACATGTGGTTGCTTAGATTTGCTAGCCGGTCGAGTAGCCGGCCCCTTTCCTCCTCTGCCCCCGCTCATTCTCTGGCCATCTCCTCCCCGTCTCTCGACTTCTCCTGGTTCTCTCTGCATCTGCCTGTCAGTCCTTTCTCCTTCACCATCGGCTCCCTCCTCCTCCTCCTTGCCCTACTCGCCGCCGCCCTCTTTGCACCCCCAACCTTCAGTGAGATTCGCATCCGGGAGGTCTTGCGACAGGGCACGAACGACCTCGAGAGACAGGAGTCAGTCGAACGTTGCAGCCATTGGTGTGATTGCCGATCGACTAGTCGTTTAAGGAGTATTCAGTTTGTTGGTATGGGCCGCTTGGCTGGACCGACCTCGTCGCGATCGCCCACAGTTCGGGGCTGCCATGGAGCAGAGGGTCAAGCCGCACGATGTTGCGCGGTGACGTGTGACACCATCGACCAGGCGCTGAGGGTGGCTTAATGCATAGATGCTCGTTTCGGGAGCCTTCCTGGGGCCCAACGCCCAACTAACGCATCTGTTCGATTCTAGTTTGACTCTGCTTCGACCCAGTTTTGATTCAGGTCGAAAAAAGTTTGACGCAGCTTCGACGCATCAGCGGCCCCCAGAACGAGGATCCAAGTTGAGTGAGTTTGTCTTGAGAAATCACGTCATGCTGCCCCCCGGCGCGCGATGGAATGGGGCGGGCCCGCGAACCGCCCCCCCCGTTTCCAGGAAATTCGGGAAATCCGGCGACGAATTCCAAACCGGCGCCCTCACGTGGAACATCCTTGGAAAACAAGACCCCCGAGCCTCCCCGCGGAGGCCCCCTTCTTCCGTTTCCAGGAAGTCCGGGAAATCCAGCGACGAAGTCCAAATTGGCGCCCGCGTGGGGTATCCTCAGAACCCCACCCCCCCTCCGAGCCTCCCAAAGGAGGCCCTCAGAGGCCCTTTCGTGCTGTTTCCTGGAAGTTCAAAACCGGCGACGAATCCAGGCCCCTCGCGTGAGACATCCTCAGAGAACTGGCCGCCCGAGCCTCCCCAAGGAGGCCCTCAGGCGCCGCGCGCCGGGGAGCGCTGGTGTCCCAATGTGGGTCTCTTGCTCGAGACGTCCTCCCAAAGTCGACCCCTGGCGCGCGAGAAAGTCGGGCCCCACAGCGCCCCCAGAGGTCATTCCTCGGGATCTGCCGGCTCGCGCCGGGCGCGCGCAGGGGCGCACCGAGCGTGTCCCAGTTTGGGGCTCTCGCTCGAGGCATCCTTGTGAACATCGACCCGAGCGTGTCCCAAGGGGCTCGCGCTCCAGACATCCTCGCAAAGTTGCCAAATCGTTCCTCGAGGGAGGCCCCCGAAGACGATGACGAGAATAAGCCTGCAGGAAGACGTAGGAGGACGGAGGAGGGGAGGAGAGAAGAGGGAGGAGGAGGAGGAGGAGGAGGATGGGGAGGGGGAGGAAGAGGATGAGGAGGAGGAGGAGGAGGAGGAGGAGGAAGAGGAGGGAGGAGGGAGGGAGGGAGGGACGGGGGAGGGAGGGAGAGAGGGAGGGAGAGGGAAGGAGGGAGGGAGAAGGAGGAGGAGGAGGAGGAAGGAGGAGGAGGAGGAGGATGAGGAGGAGGAGGGGGAGTGTTGGAGGAGGTGGTGGAGGAGGAGGAGGAGGAAGTGGAGGAAGAGGAGGAGGAGGAGGAGGAGGAGGAGGAGGAGGAAAGGGAGGGGGAAGAGGAGGAGGCGAAGGAGGAGGAGGAAGAGGAGGAGGAGAGTTGGAGAAGGTAGTGAGGATCTTGAGTGCGAGCTTCACCCTCCTGATCCTCACCCTGCTCATCCTCACCACCCGCGGCGCTACCGCCTCCCGCTCATTCCCCTCTTGCCCACAAGCACACGCTCCTCCTTCTTCTATATACATAAACTCCCGATCAACCGCATAGCGGCTGGCTAGTCATCCTGTTTTTTTCATTGCGTTTTTATTGCTTGCGCATAACACTATGTGGTTCCTTTTGGAGTTCCAGGTCCGCTATGGCACGCGTCGATGGATAGAGAAACAGCATCGCAATCGGAAGGGATGGGTGTGAGGGGTCGGATGGGAGATATGGCGCGAGCGCACTTCGCTTGTGCTCTCCCCTCTCTCTCTCTCTCTTTGTCTACCCTCTCTAGCTCTCTAGCTCTCTCTCTCTCTCTCTCCCTGGCCGACGAAGCGCCGCTGCCCCAGCTGGAACGACGGCAGCAAGCCCGCGCGAGAGGAGGCGTGGCCTCTACTCTCCCCTGCCGGCCCCGCGCCCCCCCTTGCCCCCCCCCCCCCTGGGGGGCATTCCTCCTCCCTCTTCGCCCTCCTTCTCTGGCCACGAATATTGGCGCCATTGGCGCTGGCTTCTCGGTCCATGGCTTTCTCGCCTGGCTCGTCTTCGATTCGTCAAGGGTCAGAGTGTGTGGTGAGCCTTGCCTCCCCCCCCCAGGGGGCAACCAGTCATCATACTCGCTCCTCGGGGGCCACGCTCCGTCTCCTCCGAGGCCGCAGGTGCGTATATCATGCGGACAACACTGGGACCCGTGCAAAAATCCGTACTGTTGCGCAGGCGCGGTTGCAGCACGTCTCCCTCAGGCAAGGATGCCGCAGGAGCCTGCTGGGCTCGCCCCCGCGGCGGCAGCCCTCGCCGCCCGTGCCGCTCAGGCGTGCCCAGGGGAGGGGGAGTCCTGAGGTTTCGGAACGGGTCGGGTCGGCCATTCCTTAGCCTCCTCTGAGGCTGCTGTCCTCCCTCCCCAGAGCTCGCCGGTTGGGCACCACTGTCGCCAGACGTTTCCGTAGACAGATGGAGGGTTGGGCCGCGGGCTGGTCCGCAACCCTCACGACGCTGGTCTTTAGTGACAGCCGTGTGTTGAGTCACCCTCCTGCCCGCGCGCGGACGTGCGCGCGGGTGTAATGGTGGTGATGATGCTGCTGATGTAGTAGGATGTAGCATGATGATGGTGATGGTGGTGACGATGAGGATGGCGCTGCTGCTGCTGCTGCTGATGATGATGATGATGATGGAAATGGTGGTGGTGGTGATGGTGATGACGAGGGCGACGAATATGATGATGATGATGATGATGATGATGATGATGATGATGATGATGATGCTGCTGCTGCTGCTGATGCTGATGCTGATGCTGATGCTGATGCTGATGCTGATGCTGATGCTGTTGATGATGATGATGATGATGTTGAGCTTGATGCTGTTGATGATAATGATGATGAGGTTGATGACAATGATGGTGACGATGATAATGGTGATGATGATGACGATTATGATTATGATGATGTTGATGATGATGCTGCTGATGCTTATGATGCTGCTGATGATGAGGATGAGGACGAGGAGAGGATGAGGATGATGATGATGCTGATGGTGGTGATGATGGTTGTGGTGGTGATGATGCGGATGATGCTGCTGCTGATGATGATTATGTTGATGATGAGGGTTGGGGGGCAAGAAAAAGAAGAGTCAGTGGAGACGATGAGGCTGAAGTCGAGGGAGGAGGACGAGGAGGAGGTGGAGAAGGAGGGGGATGAGGAGGACGGACGGACGGACGGACGGACGGACGCTGCAATTCGCGCCGGAGCGCGGCCCTCTAAGAGTGCAGCGGGGGCGCCGGAGCGCCGGAACTCACTTCACGATGCTCGGCAATGGAACTTTGCCGGTAACATCCTCAACCTGGGTAGTACGACTGCCGCACAGAATTGTTTCCAACCGCGTTACTTCATAGGCAATATTGTTTGCACCAGCCGCAACATTGAATTCGATTTGCTTAGCGGGTCGCCAGTGCCATTGTGGAGCGTTTCGCAAATTTGTCTCCAGAAATTCGACTTGTGCAAGTCTCCATATTTTCTGTTGAAGTCTATTGGTGTTATTATTGTTGCGGACGTCCAGGTACTGGGGCAAGCTTGCAACAAATTGTTGTATTTAGCAAACGCTGCATTGTCGAAACCATGTTCCACCATGTTCTTGGATCTCTTCTGGCGAGAGCCTCCTTCGTCCACCAATGATGTTTGCAATTTCCGTCGCATTTCCAGCCATTGTGGATCTGATCTGGACCTGATTCATCTCCGTGCTAGATAAACGCGTCCATACGCCAACCTATTTCGAAGGGCCCGTGTCGATTTCGTCAGCGTCCGGTGACAACTCCTGCTAGGTAAAATTGTGCGTTTCATTCTCGTCCAGGGGATCCAGGCGAGCCTCACTGTGATCTGATCCGCCTGAGTGCCGCGCAGCACCCTCCCATCTCGACAGCAATTCTTTACGCTTCGCGTATCCCCACCAGCCCATCTCACAACAGCAACTCATGCGAAGCATGCCGACAGTCGTGTTTTTCAGGCGTGTGTCCGTTTGGCCCCGCATATCTCCCCTGTCCTTCCTTCCTCCCGCCTCCTTGTACATCCTCCTTGTGGGGGGAGCGGGAGAAGGACGAGGCGGAGGAGGAGGGAGAGAAAGCGCTCCTCGTGATTTGAGTCGTTTGGGGTTTCTCGTCCTGGTGTGAGTCGTTCGGGCCCTTCTTCCTGGTGTGAGTCGTTCGGGCTCTTCGTGGTGTGAGTCGTTCGGGCTCTTCGTCCTGGTGTGAGTCGTTCGGGCTTCTCGTGGTGTGAGTTGTTCGGGCCCCTCATCCTGGTGTGAGTCGTTCGGGCCCCTCCTCCTGGTGTGACTCGTTCGGGCTCCTCGTGGTGTGAGTCGTTCGGGGCCCGCGTCGTGGTGTGAGTCGTTCGGGCTCCTCGTGGTGTGAGTCGTTCGGGCGCCTCGTCCTGGTGTGAGTCGTTCGGGCCCCTCCTTGTGGTGTGAGTCGTTCGGGCTCTTCGTGGTGTGAGTCGTTCGGGCCCCTCGTCCTGGTGTGAGTCGTTCGGGCTCCTCGTGGGGCCTCTTGGGGGCCTCTTGGAGCCTCTTGGGGCCTCTTGGGGGCCTCTTGGGGGCCTCTTGGGGGCCTCCCTGGGGCCTCTGGGGGCCTCTTGGGGGCCTCTTGGGGGCCTCTTGGGGGCCTCTTGGGGCCTCTTGGGGGCCTCTTGGGGGCCTCTTGGAGGCCTCTTGGGAGGCTCCTGGGGGCCTCTGGGGGCCATCTTGGGGCCTCTTGCGACCTCCTCAGAAGCGCAAAGAAGCGCTGCCCCCTGAGAAGGACAAAATGAGCCCAAAACCTTAGTAAAATCAATGATTTTGCTATGAAGGAAGATGAGCGCGGCCCCCGCGGGAGGGCAAAATGGGGCCAAAACCATCGTAAAAGCAAGGATTGTGGCTTCAGAGAAGAGGAGAGCATTTTTTCTCCCTCCCCCCGTCGGGGCCAGAATCCTCGTGAGGGTCGTCGTTTTTTGGCCCTCCCAGGAGTCGAAAAAGACCCCTCCAACGACCCGCGGCCCGCCCTCTCCAGACCCAGGGGGAGGGGGTAGGGGGAGGGGTAAACCCCTCCCCGAAGGGGAAGAAAGGGGGTTGAGGACAGAGGGGGCTCTCTAAACCACCCACGCCCTAACAGGCGAGCCTCACTGTGATCTGATCCGCCTGAGTGCCGCGCAGCACCCTCCCATCTCGACAGCAATTCGCTGAGCACTTCATCAACAGTTGGAAAAATGGGAGGTTCCTTGCAAGCGAGATGCGTTCCAGCCTTTTCGATGCGACCCAAAGCTTCTTGCGAGTTGTAATTCTAGTTACATCCATCAGAATGTCCACGTTGCGTCATTGACTGCGGTACTTCGCCTCGAGGCTGCATCTGCCTGGAATCCTCCACAAACTTCTAAAACACATATTCTAGTCGCACATGAAATTGAACAAGGGTATCGAGTAACATATGCTGCGTTGTTGCACCATCTTGCACCAAGCACTGAGAATTGACCACTGATTGTCAAATATCGTTGTTTCGATTCCACAAACATTGCATGTCGTCTACTAGCGCTTTGAACCTCTCTTCAATCATGCCCTCTTGATGCGATAATTTCTGTTTCAAGCGCTCCAGGGCATCAAATATCGACTCTGCCATTTTGCGCCTGTCTCGACGGCGCTGCGTTTCAGACTGAGGGTACAAATGCGATCTCCTATCTTTCCATTCTGGATTCCATCGCTGGGGTGGCATGCTTGCTTGGGCCTCAACTCCTTGCTTGGGCCTCAACTTGAGCCAAAATGGCTTGAGCTGGCGGTGATCAGAGGTGCTTTTCGCCTCGTCCGTCACTTGCTCCGTTTCCCCCTTCCGGGTCCTCCTTTCCATCTACCCTCCTTCCCCATGCCTCCTTCCTCTCCATCCCGCTCATCCATTTCTCCCTCCCCCTCCCTCACCGTCTCTCTGCTCCTTCCATTTCCTTCCACCTCTCTCCTCCCCCTCGTCTCCCTTCCCCGCGCTACCTCCACATCCCGTCCTTCCCTTACCTCCCCTTCCTTCCTTCCCGTCTGCGTCTCCCTCCCACCGTCCCACTTCCCTCCCCCATCCCTTCCTCCCCTCTTCAATCCTCGCTGTCCCTTCGGCCGTGTCACACTCGAGAGTGTTGCAGGTGCGCGTTTCGAAGTGGCACCGCACCTGAGAGCCGACACCTGCTGCACGTGGGGATGTCGGACTCTGATGTTACCGCAGGCCCGACGCTTCCCACGTGGGGATGTCGCTGCAGCGTGGATGGGGAGTGGGCCAGTCGGCTCAAGTGCAGGGGCTGTGGTCGAGCGCTCCGCGGCGCATCGCGGCCGCAACCAAGCAATCGACAGCAAAGACGAAGCCGACCGCCTCCCTCCCTTTGCAAAGGTCGTGGGCTCGCCAGCCACACGGTGAATCGGGAACCATCAGGAAGCTCAAAGCGGAAGTTGCCGCGCTGCGGGCTCGGGGGGGCGGGGAAGGGGGCCTTGGTGGGCTTCAGCCAGCAAAGCAGTCTTCGTCGCCCGACGCGTCTTACTCACAAGTCTTCCAGTTCCTCAGAACGCAGCAGGTCGACGCGGCAGCAGTCGAGGCGGCCAAGGTTCGAGAGGTCGAGAGCAGGCCCCCGTCGGCCATCGTGGCGCAGCATCGGGTTCACAACTCGAAGCCAAAGGCCGAGAAGTTCGAGCTGCGCATCAATACCTACATGGAACAACAGGACGAGCTCTCCCGCTCGTCATCCCCCCTTCGAATCCCACTCTCGCGTCCCTCCCCTTCCCTCATCCCTTCTTCTTGCTACTGTTCTCTCCCTCCTTACCCCGCCCAGTTTTTCCCACGCTCGCTTTTCCTCCCTGCATCCCCTCCCCCTCCTGCCTCAATGTCTCCCCCTCTCCGCGCTCTCCCCATGATTTCTGGTTCTCTTCCTGGGCCCACCTCTCTCGCTCCTTGCTTCTGGCTCGCAGCTTCCAGCTTCCGTCTCTGTGCCTGCCTCTCTGGCCGCCCCCCCCGCCCCGCCTTCCCTGAGGCCAGAGACGGAGAAAGAGTGAGGAGCGGGAGGAGGGAGGGAGGATGAGATGTTCCAGAACTCCCAGATGGGGTCCCAGTACCCGTCGGTCGTTGAAAGTAGGTATTTCTGGATGCCCAAGTCCCACTCCACGTTAGGCGCTTTCCTACTTCAAGAGTCGAGCGGTTGTCCTTCTTCCCTCGTCTTCAGGTGGCGGGCGGAAGGCCAATCTATGTGTAACGCCTTCCTACTCCATGTTTCTACCTAATTATTCCGACCGGCGGGTAGGTGGTGTCGGAGGGCCGCGCCGCATCGCCGATGCATCGCCGATGCGGCTCGATGTGGGGCCCGACTTCTCCACGCCGACAGCGCCGATGCATCGCAGGCGTCGTCGATGCATCGCCGATGCATGTGGCGCGATCCTCCGACCCCACCTACTCGGACCCCATCTAGAAGGCCTCTAGATACCCTGCCGCTTTTCCACGAAGGCCGTTGGTTGGAATGCGGCGCAGCCACTCGGGGGTTCAATGTCAACGTCGATTCCCTGGCTGGATACAGTGGTGCGCTGCTCTGGCATTGATCTGCGAGTTGCGCTGTCTGCCCTAGCAGAAATTATGTACGCAGTAATGATTTGCAATCTTGACCCCGTCCATGGCGTCCAGGGCGGGAAGCCGCTCTGCGAAGATGAGAGGTGGCTTGCAGTGTGATGCCCGCAACTCGGAACCATGTCCGAGGCAGGCGGGTTCCCAGTGCTGCCGGAATCGCGTTTCGTAGCCTGTCCCGCTCGCGTCCGCTGCCCGCCTGGACGACGGACAGGCTCACGATGACGTCGACGGCGCGTCCCGCCCGCCCGCCCGCTCGACCGTCGGACTCGCCCACGACAACGACGACGACGACGACGACGACGACGACGACGACGACGACGACGACGACGACTCGACGACTACGCCGACGACGACGCAACGCCGACGACTCCGACGACAAAGAGGACAACAAGGAGGACGACGACGACGACGACGTGTCTCTGCCGCTCTGAGCTCGTAGCCGACTGGCGCCCAGGTGGAGACTGGCCTCCGCTTCGCCGGCTTCATCGGCTTCGAGTGCAGGTCGCGGGCAGACTCCCCGCTCGTCATCGGGGCGCTGCGCGAGTCGGACCACCAGGCTCGGAGCCACAGCCCGCCTGCATGTATCTTGGGCTGGCCTCGGAAGAGTTTTACCCCTCTCCGTGGATGCTCCGCACGGCCAGACAATCGAGCGGGATGCGCCAGACGAGGGAGCGGAGGAGGAGGAGGAGGAGGAGGAGGAGGAGGAGGAGGAGGAGAAGGACGTGGGGGGTAGGTCAGGCCAGTTGGATATTGCTAGATTTTGGGGGACCCCCCCTGCCCCTGCCCCAGCAGTGGCCAAGGAATCTGGCGTGGCCAGAAGAGCCAGACGCGACCTATTGGGTGCGAGGCGGCATTCCAGTGTGACAGGGTTGCAAGGAGTCGCGGGCAGCTTGGTCGGATCAACCCATCATCCGTGTGCCCCCGTGCCCAGACCAGACCCTTTGAATCCATCGTGAATCCAACAAGAATTCAGAAGGTTCAGTGGTGGTGAGATGCGGCTGTCCCGTCTGTGCGCAGGCATCCGCGATCCTGTATGGCTTGTCCACATATTGTCTGGCTTTCTGGAAACTGGTGTCAGTTGTGACGCTCTCGCCCACGGTCTTACTATCGCTTTCACGCCTTCTTGTTTTTATGCTCTATCTCCCTCTCTCTCTCTCTCCTTTTCTCTTCCTGTGTCCAATACGGGCGCTTGCTTTGTACTCGATGTGACCCGCGATCCGGGATGGACTGAATATCCCAAGCGACGCAACGCCGGGTCATTCAAAGCAGCTTGGCTAGCCCATGCTCGGGATAACCACCCTTGCACCGATCCGCACTTGGTCGAACGGAGGTCATTGATCGTTTTGCTTCGAGCGATCCCCACCGAAGCCTTCGGTATTTGATTTCAACGGAACCCTCGGCTGTTGAAGAGACGGCTGTGGAGGCAAACGGGTGCGGGCATATGAATAGGACTTGCCTAATCGGCTCCCCTTTCCCGTTCCTGCCGCGTCCTTCTCCTCCGTTGTCCCCTTCTTCGGTCTCAGATCATGGGAGCCTTGGAGTTATCCCCTTCGCAGTGCCATCTTTTTGGGTGCACTAGCGTCGACTTGCCTATGGTAATCGATGAGATAGCGCCGATGTTAGCTTCGGTTAGGATCCATTCGCGGCGATCAGCGTCGACGTAGCGTCGATTCGCAAGAGCCAACAAGATTGTAGGGGTGGCTACTCCGAGTTGCCTCCGAACCCTTCCCCCCGCATGCGTCGTCCTCCTCCGCCTCTCGGGCCGGCACCCCGCTCCTGGAGGCGGCGTGCGCAGCTGGGGGATGTTGACGGGCAGTTGCGAGCGTCCAGTCGTGGAGGGATTTTATAACTCTGCACCCCCCATGCTCAACGCTTGCGATTCAAAGCATGCTCTCTCTTTATTTTTCCCTCTCTATGTGTATGTAGATGCCTCTCTAGTTCACTCATGCTCTATTTGACTCAAATTTGCATATCTGTATATATATATATATGTTCTTCACACATATACTAATATCAATCTTCCCATATGCATCTGGTGATGTTGCCCGCCATTGCGTGTGTCATTAATGATGGTACGTTGGCAAGGTGGTAAGTTGGTCTTTCTCGACCTCGGGACGTCGATTCTGATCAGGCGTGACACCAGCAATTCCAGGGAGCGTGCAACGATGCTGCGCGCTCTTACCGTGTATGCCGCTTACCGTGTACAGGCGGCGGTTGCTCGGGGTCGCTGCGCGTCGCCAAGGCCGCGGGTGCTCTCCCGGCCATGCTGCGGGAGGGTGCCCGAGGGCACCCTGCCTTAGAGTCGCTGCTGCGCACCGCGCGGTGCTGGCAGCGCGAGCAGTAGTCAGGTTTGTCGTTTCCTTCCTCTTCTCCCTCCTCCGTTGCGCCGGCAATTGACAGTTTTATTTTGTATCTGGTTTCGCGCCCTGTCCGCCATCAGTGCGGAGCTTTTGCCGTTCGCGGTCATTCATGGCGTGCCTGTTCGCATCATCGCCTTGTTGTGCCAGACTTGGTTGTGTCTGAGCGCAGCCTAAGACCAGCCTGCTTGTGTGCCCCTCCTCTTCCTCCTCGTGCCGCTGCTGCTCCACCTCCCCCTCTGCACGCGTGCTGTGAATCCGTTTCTGCGACTAGGTTGCACTACTCAATGTGCTGTAATGTGGTGCTTCTGTCTTGCGGCTGATTCGGCCCCCGGGGAACATAATCACGACTCGTTGTCGTCGGCCAAGAGCGGATGCATTGCAGTTTGTTGTGTGCTTCTTTTCGCCGTTCTTCTTTCCTCTTCCTCCTTCTCCTCCTCCTCCTCCTCCTCATCCTTCTCCTCCTCTTGCTCTTGCTCATTCCGCACTTGCGGGCCGTAATTCGTAACATGTTCGTTGCGTGTTGCCGTCTTTCTGGGCCGCCTCTTCATTTTCGGGTGTACCGGGCTATCCTCGATTTGAGGCCCGTCCTCTGCGAATTTTGTTCTTGCTAGTGCAGCTTGAGTGTTCTCGTAGCCAGAATTCCGGCCGCGCTTGCAGGAAAACTCTGCGGGGGGCTTGTTTTCTCGGCGGCACTTGTGGCGAGGCGATTGGCGTGAATTATTGTTGTCCGCTCCCGTCTTCTCCCTCCCCCAAAAGATAAAGAAGGTAAGTTGGTGCGGTTGTTTTTGTTTCGTCGGCCTGGCGTGACGTAGGATTTCTCTCTGTGTGGTATTATGTTGCCCATCGTGCTCGTCTTTGTCACGACGCAGGGGCAATCGTATGAGCGTTGACATGCTACAAGCTGGCAATCCCAACGCTTGCTTTGCACGTGCTTGGCAGTTTTGTTGGCACGACGCGGTTTAGTACCTCTGCCCATCTGGCACCACTACCCACACGGTCTGGCCGCCGAGGCCACTTGAAATGACTTTGCAGAGACTGTTTTTTCTTCTCTGTCGAGGACGGGCGGGACCGCGGGGGGGAAGGGGGCTGGATGGGGACAGTCACGTCACGATTTGCGCCGGCGCCAGATGGGAATGTGCAAGAATGGCTGGTGCGTACACGGCGCCGGCGCAAAGCGTGACGCGACCACGGGGGGGTGGAGCCAGTCGCGGGCATTATCGGGGGGGGGGCGTGGCCAGTCACGGGCGTTATTGTATCGCGAATAATAACTGCAGTTTGTTGTATATTTTTTTTCACGTTTGCTCCCTCGGCGGGTCAAGACCGATTTAATCTCACGAAGTTCACGGCCGACGCATTCGCATTCTTTCAACGGGACCGAGGGCATTGCGACGCGACCACGTGCAACAGGATTATTTGCAGACGCGCGTGGGGAGGCCTTCCGCGACACGTGCGCCCTCACCGCGCATGTAGATACGCTTCTGATCACAAGCTCCTGGTTTCGTGCACTGATGTGGTCAGACAAGCTGCGGCGGTGCAGGGGCTTGTGTTGCTTGCCCCCCTGGCTCTTCCGGTGGCACGCCCAGGGGTGAAGGCAGAGGGGTCGGGACTTCTCAGAAGGCTCAGGAGGCATCCGGCCTTCCGAGAAGCTCTCTGAGCCGCCTCCGAAGCCGCCGAGGGCTCCTCAGAGGGCCTGGGGGCTTCTGAAGAGCCCCGCCGTCTGAGAAGGCTTGTCCCCCCTCGGTGCGCCGTCGATCCTCGCCGGGAGGCCTCTCTCGGGCCCCACTTGGCTGCGATGGGGAAGGGGAGCAATGGACCGGAGGGAGAAGAGCAGTGCGGCGCGTTCAGGTCGCCATGGTCACCGGGGACTCCCCGCTGACTGGAGACCGCCTTTCTTCAGGGGCAACGTGGGGGGGGCACGCTAGGGGCAACGTTAGGGAGGGACAGGTTCGAGGTTCGAGGCTTTCGGGCACTTTCGTTGGATTTCGGCAGTTTTCCAGCCTCGGGATGCTCTCCAGCAGCTGCGCCTTTTCGGCGTTCTGGGGTTGCCTGGAACACCCCATATATCCGCCAGGACCCAAGCTATGGCCTGAAAACTACCGGTGGCGGGATAGATTCACGGGGAAACGCCATTATTCCCAATGGCGCATTCTTCGCCGATAGGGGCTTGACGGCTCCACCCCGCCCACGAACGTGCGATTTTGCTATCCGGGGCCTGTCGCTGATCTATCGGCAATTTATAGCCGATTCCTGGTCGATGGTTCCCCCAGAGCCAGTCCCCCCTATCGGTCCCCTTCGTTTCTTCGACCCGGTCTATAGCATCTCCTCGGTTTGTGCTTGTGCTCTTGTTGGATAGGATAATATATTGTTGCCTGTCGTTTTGCATTTTATTTCGGGGTTGCGAAGTCGCAGGGGCTGCACGTGCCTTGAGCAAACCAGTCTGAGTGAGTTGAACAGCTCAGACGGTGATTTCAATCAATCCTGAGGCGTTTGTGAACGGTTGGTTGTTTCGGCGTGGTAGCTGGCTGGAGGTTGTGTCCCCGCCCAGCGTCTGTGCTCAGGCTCGCGTCATTGTTGACGGCGGCTGTAGCCAGTTGGATCTATCTTTCTTGGTATCGATAAGTACTTGGCGCCTTGCGGATTCCGCTGCACTGCAACATTCGCCCGCGGCTTCCTCGCAGAAAGTTTCTCTTCGGCCTTCCTTCCGGATTCTTTTTGAACCCGGTAAAAGGAACGCATCATTGGTCTTTCTCCCCTTATTCCCTTTATGCAAAGGATGGGGTTCTTGTTGCTCCCCATATCCAAAGGGTGGGGTTCCTGTTATGCTCATGAGAGTTGACGGGGGGGAGAGGAAGAGACACGCATAGTCAAACAAGAGTGAGGCTTGGGAGGCTCCGTGGCTATTTGGAGCCGTCTTGGAGCGGTCTTGGGACCGCTTGGAGCATCTTGGGAGCCATCTTGAGCCAGCTTGGGCTATCTGAGCCATCTTGGAGGTCATCTTGGGATCTGAGTCCGCTCGGGGGCCTCTTGGGTGCCTCTCGGGTGCCTCTTGGAGCCCTCTTGGGGCCTCTTGGGGCGCTCTTGGAGCCCTCTTGGGGGCCTCTTGGGAGCCCTGGAGTGCCTCTTGAGGCCATCTCGGAGGCGGTCGGTCAAAACAGGGGGGTCCTCGATTTCCCTCCCCCCCCATCGGAGGCCACGATCCTCGTGAGGGGTGTCGAAAATTGGACCTGCAGTGGCCGAACATGGAGCCTCCGACACCTCGCGACCCCTCCCAAACGACCTCAGGGAGGGGAGGACGAGGGTTCCCCTCTCCGACGGGAAGAGGGGTTGTGGAAGAGGAAAGAGACCCTCGTTAGACCACCTGTTGCCCAAAGGGCTGGTGGGATTTACTCACCCCGCCGAGAGCGAACACCTCCACCCAGCGAAGTGTTGTTGTTGATGATGGTGCTGGTGCCAAGAGTGATGATGATGATGAGATGACGATGAGATGACGATGGTGATGATGGTGGTGATGGTGAAGGTCGTGATGCACAGAGAGGGTGATACTCACGACGAATGGTGTGGTGGATCTAGTGATGAAAGATGAGGATGATGGTGATGGTGGTGATGATGATGATGATGATGATGGCGATGATGTTGGCGATGCCGATGATGATGATGCTGATGGTGATGATGATGATGATGATGATGATGATGATGATGATGATCACTTTGATGGTGTTGTTGATGATGGTGGCAACACACATGATGAATAATATGGTGTTCATCGGAATGGTACTATTTCTCATATCCAAAGGATGGGGTTCTTGTGATTCTCCGATCGCACCGGACCGCCCATACCATGATGATGACCATGGTATGGTGAGAGTATGATGTGAGTACGATGGTGGTGGTGGGTGATGGATGAGTATGATGATGAGTATGATGATGCTGCTGCTGCTGATGATGATGATGATGAGGATGACGATGAGCAGATGATGAGGATGTCTCGACCGGCTTGCTGGTTTTAGCACTCCTAAGGGGGGGCCGCCAGGGGTATTGCACGGCCTCCGTTCGCGCCCAAATGGTGGGGACGTCTCAGGCGGTTTGCTTGTTTTGGTCCGCAACATCCTCCGCTTTCGGAGCAGATTCTGATGATGTCTCAGGCGGCTTGCTGGTTTTAGCACTCCTAAGGGGGGGCCGCCAGAGGTATTGCACGGCCTCCGTTCGCGCCCAAATGGTGGGAATGTCTCAGGCGGTTTGCCTGTTTTGGTCCTCGACATCCTCCGCTTTCGGAGCGGAGTCTGAGGATGTCTCAGGCGAGGCGCTTGTTTTCGCACCCCAGGGGGGGGGGGGGGGCAGATTTCGAGGATGTCTCACGCGGTTTGCGTGTTTTGGTGGTCAGACTCGTCGGCTGTCAAAGCAGATTCTGAGGACGTCTATGGCGAGGCGCTGATTTCCGCACTCCCAGAGGGCCCAGATTGCGACGATGTCCTAGACTCACTTATGCTCAAACTCATTCGTGCTCAGGCTCATTCATAATCAGACTCGCATTCATCATACTCATATTCAGACTCACTCACACCCAGAGTTACGCACACTCAGACTCACGCACACTTAGACCCACCCACCCTCAGTCATTCGTAGCCAGGCTCACTCGTACTCAGACCCACTCAGGGCAAATGTCATATCCATCATACTCATACTCAGACGCGCTCACATTCAGAATTACTCACGCTAAGAATCACTCACACTCAGACCCACTCACCCTCAGATTCACTCGTAGTCAAACTCACTCGTACTCAGACCCATTCAGGCCTAGACTCGCACTCACTGTACTCATACTCAGACTCACTGGCTTTCGCACCCCATGGGGGGGGGCTGATTGCGAGGATGTCTCAGACTCACTTGTGCTCAGACTCGTACTCATCATTCTCATACTCAGACACACCCACACCCAGCCCATCCAAATAGATGCACATATGGGGAGCTCCACGCAGTGAAGACT